CCCCCCCCCGGAACAACCAAACTAACAACCCCCCAAGTCCCTCCGCATAGCCCCGCCGGCCGCCCACCCAACCTCAACCAGCAACACGACGACCCGCACGCCCTCAGCGCACGTCTCGCTCCCTCACCCGTCGAAGGGCGCCCCCTCGGCGCCGGGGCTGCCCGACACGCTCCGGAACAACCTGACACTACCAGCAGCCCGGGGCCCGCCGTCGGCGCAGACGGCGACGCCCAGCTCGGCCCACCCGCTCGAGGCGCGCCTGCTGGCCTGGCGGGCGACCCAGGAGGCCCTGAAGATGGAGTCGCTGCGGCGGGCGTACGGCATCGCCGAGCCCATCCGCCGCGGCATGGAGCTGAAGATCGTGCGGGATGGGTCGTTCCGCCCCGCCGTCATTGGGGGTACGCAGAACAACGTGCATGAGGATATCTTGGTGCTTGGGGGGCGGGATGCAGAGGTCGGGTGGGAGGATATCTTTAAGGGTAAGTCTTTCCATGGTGGTAGGGAAGGGCAGAAGGGGGGAAGGGGCGAAGGGTGGAAAGGTACAGCTGCTAACTTTTCTTGAACTACAGGCGACGAGTTCCGTGAACCCCCGACTTTCCATGATGAGATGGAGAAGAGATTGCGTATGGATTAGAGCATAGATTGCTTTGGTTGGGACTAGGGTTGAGGGTATTCGTGCTATGGTATTTTTTTTTTAGGTTTCTATGTTCTTTAACGGTTCGACTGAATGGGATTGTGTTTCAGATTCTATATGACGCGGTGGTGCAGTCAGCGTCGGTGGCAGTAGCCTTTCACACAGTAAAAAAAGAACTAGCTACAATCCAAGTACGCATGGATCTACGGCGATGGAAACAACAGTATGGTTCATAATATATGTGCAGTTGTGGTAGTTTGTACATCATGTGATTCCCGGGCGGTCGCCCGGCAAGACACTATTGTGGACATCTGAACACGCTTCAAGACAAACCGGCGCCGTGTACCACAGCGGTACACATCGAAAGCCCGCTGAACGGAACCTCGCCTCAAGGTTCTGGTCCGCAACCACCACCCGCTCCAGTCCACGGGTGGTCTGATCTTGGTTCAGAGGCAAATGATAACGACATAAGCAGAAGGTGGAACGCTGCATCGACCAAGAAATAAATGCTAACAAACGGCCTGCCAATTGTGAGGGAGGGTGAAGACGGAATATCAGGGTATATGTGAAGCAGATAACAAGTATGAGTGGCATCAAGCGACTCGATAGAAATAGAAGCTGGTGAGCGACCGATAACACCGGAACAGATGACTTTCAGGGCACGAGCAATGACTGCTGCTGGACCCAGAACGCTAGAACCAGCCGGACGCCGTCTTTGGCGCACAGCGCAGGTAGTTAACCTGGTGCGCCGCCTTTAATGCCGAAGCAGATAGACTAGGTATCCTTGGAAAATCCCAGAAATGGCTTATAGCCATAGGCAATATGATCAACGGCAAGGGATAGAATACGTGGCTTTGCAGATGACAGCATGAGAGGACAACGTCATAGAACCCAAGGGAATTCATCCCCTTGTGGTAGTCGTCTTTCCGACACGGGGACCTTCGAGGCACCAAATCAAAAACCCGTGCTCATTGAATGATGCAGCGACATCCAGGGCTACGCTCGCTGGATTCGCGTTCACGGGTGTATTGGGCCTTGGCTCCCTTGGCATCGTCTTCGTCCACGATCTCTTGGGGCTTTACGGTCATGTGCACCACATTAGGAGCATCTCGGTTAAATCGGCAGTCTAGGATAGTCAGTATGGAGACACGATTGAGGCTCGTAGGGACTGCCGTACCTGATAATGGGGACTTGTCGTCCAGGAGCTTTCCAAAGGAGATCAATCGAATCGAACTAGGCGAGGACGGCCGTGTCTCCCATTCTAGCAAGACCAGATTGTCAGCCACCAACTTTAAAGCGCAGGAGCGGTTACCATACCTTGTCGCCATTCCCTCCAGATCAGTTCCTTCAGTGTATACACGCTCATGGCGAAAGGATCCAGGTTTTCAACATTGACTTGTTGCTTCTTGAGATATTTAGCATCAATCTTGAACGGGTGCCGGGAGCCAGTGATCAACAATAGAGTGATGACAAGCTGTGGTCCCGAGTCGTCCTCTTCCTTTACATTCTGAGGGGAAGCCTCGCCCGCGGCTACTGGAGCTTTCAGTTCACCGTGATCGCCAGCCGATGCGCTGGCAGACGGAGCATCGCTGGGGTTCTGCTGCGAGGCATGTGTTGCTGTGGGGGCTTCGGCGACATTCGCTGATTTGCCATCTGTCAGACTCAGTTCCTGGGTCTCATCACTCGTACTGTCCAGGCGTGGAGTAGTATTCAAGGCCTCTGTGGACTCCGATGATAAACCGGGGACAGCAAGTGGTTGTAGAGGTTCGATGGGAGGAACCGGCGTAGTGACCGCCGGGTCGCCCTTATTGCCCGTGCTGTCCGACATGATGACGGCTATTGTATAACTTGAAATGCGAGATAACGCTAATGAAAGCAAAGCGACGTGTCGAGTTGAGAAATTGCGCGCGGAGAAAGACCAGAAGCGAAGATGGTGATGATTATTTCTCCGGTAGATCCGGGGCGTGCGACCGACGTCGTTATTGGAGGGGGGAAGGCGGGAGACCCTGGGGAGGTTTCAAGGAGAGGGAAGACAACGACGAACCCAACAGCGCGCAACCCGAACAGCGACAAGAAGGGAGGGGGGCCCAAGGGGGCTAGACTAGATAAGAAGCGGAGAAATCCAAGGACGGCGCGAACAAGTGACTAGAACTTCGACCGGTTGAAGGAGATGAAGGGGGCCATGCGACCCGAGGGAGGCGAAAAGGGGACGTGGGGGGGGGTTGATTGAGGAGGCGGGCAGTTGGCGTAGAGGTAGGGAGGCGATGACAGAGCGGGCAAAAGGAGGCAGACAAAACTCTAAAGTACGCCTCCTGAGGGACTCAAACAAGACGGTAGGTTAAAAGATATATACTAAAAGGTTATAAAAGATTGCCAATAGATAGAGTGGGAGTAAAGAGTCACAAAAGAGATCGATAGCGGATCGTGGGTGGATGATGGTGATAGTGGTTCGTCAGTGACGATGAGGTGAGGGAAAGGGAGGGAGAAGGAGAGAAGAACCGCCCCCGTGACTGCCGGGAAGAAGCGCAACTTCAAGACGGGAGAAATTAAGGAAAGGGGGGAGGGGAGAAAGCCTAGAGTCGATGTTCCAGGCGGGCGGCGATCCGGTTGGGCGCGCCCGGCCTCAAACGGAGTTTAGTCTAGTCTGTCCAGTGTCTACCTACGGAGTACCAATTTGTCAGTTCAGCATGTTTCGGTGGGCCAGATTCAGATTCGCAGATCGTTTCAATCGATGCTTCGCTGCTTGTTCTTCTCCTTCTTTTCGGCTTCTCTCGGACTTTCTGTATTGACAATCATCATGATCTATTCGAGAAAGTCCAACAGTCCCTGTCTGCAGTTCTGAAAGATTAGAGTGGCTGGCGTGCTGTCAAAGATCCTGCATCTACTCCAAAAGCGACACTGACACTGACACCTGTCAAGCTCGTATGTATCGGTGTCAAACTCGCGCTGGGCCTCCCTCATAGTATCAATCGACTATCGTCAACAATATGCATATTACAGACGTCTCTTGATCGCTGCAATGCCCAGATACAGACCGTGGACGTGGTGCAGATCTTGATACCAAGAACCAAACTGGGGAATCGATACCGGAAGACCCGCTACGAGGCATTGCTTAGCTCTTGTTGTTACTATATATATCCCACAACGACGACCTCGCCTAGCCTTCAAGTACTGTATGAAGTACGTAGAGCATTGCTTCCAGCCCTCGAATTGGACCCTGATTGCCGTGAGAAACGAATGAGTCACATGATGATTCAGATCACAGCTGAAGCGGCAGAACGGATTTGAATCCATTCTGGGCCACCAAACCTCCCGAAGTCACGCCATGGCAATGGCACCATGCATTCTTGGTTGACCTCCTTATCATATTTCTCCGACTGTCGCAGAACATACGGAAGAGGCCTTGGTTCTATCACTACCGAGCATTGATTTACCAAGGCAGAACAAGACCGATGTTCTTTTTTGCCTCCATGAGGAAAGTTGACAGTGACACTAGTGTCTAGTATGGACGCTAACCCTTGTTGTTCCTCCAGGGCTCTATTCGCTTACTGAGTAGATGATCTTCGTCCAAAAGTACTCCCCCCTCTTAATATTTGCCACGCCTGTTTTCTCCGCTCTAGACCGATGGCTGTAGGCGAGAACCGTTCTTATCACCATCGCCTGACCCGTTCACCATCACGAAGGGACTGCGCACGTGGACGGTCTGGCTTCTCACACGAACACGAGAGGTTAAATCTAGATCCATGAGTTCTGCTTCTCAACACCCCGCCTGAATGTTTGTGAATATGTCAGGCAATCCATGGGTGTTGCTTGGTCTTGTATGTGTTTGAACCATCCAGTGACCGGCCCTCCCAATCAGATCTATGTGACATCATTCTTGCCTTAATCTTCGTCAAAGACGATCATTGTCCACAATGATGATCAGAGCTGGAGACCAACCTTCCAACTCGACAAACACGAGGTATTTAACTGTAGGGCTCAAAGAACGAACATCGTATCTGGAGAAATCGATGGCATCCAAGCCGCGAGCACTTTAAATTAAGTTACGATTGATCCTTCGGACGCGGTGCAGGCGGGGGTCGGCTGCAACGATCAAGCGGACAGCAAATGATTTCGACCTGTCATGCAATAGTCTAGAACCTGATATCCGTATGTGTTGACCGATCCTTACTCAGTCCTTTCTGATGTAATGGACTGATCTTCATCCTGATATAAGTTGAGGTCATATGGCCACACTACAATGTCATATAACGGAACGCAACCATCAAGCATACTGCATACTTCGCCAACCAACACCATCTATCGCTCTCAAGTTCCAGCGAGGGGTTGCCCTTCCCAAGGAAATGCTTCGATCGCCATTCTCGACACCGCGCAAGTCGACCCAGGAAGTCCCCATTCAAGGCGATGCCAGTGGCCTGAGCCTGGAATTGAATATCACCGAGCCAGCCTTATTCGCCCCGACCTTATCAGACAAGCCAGCAGTTCTCCGTGGTGAATGTCGATTGACGGCGAAAGAAGCTGTGACAGTGAAGCGACTGACCGTCAACCTGCGCGGTACAAGCCATATCGTGTGGCCACATGGTGAGAACAATATATGGTTTCTAGAAACTAGAAACTTCCCTCCGGAGTTGGCTATTTGTCTAAACTATAATTGCTTCAACAGGTATTCGCGAACGCCGTACGGTGACCGACAATACATTGATACTGCTTGGTCCCGAGGCGACAGACCCGGTGCTTCCGTGTTACCTTGACTCAATTCAGGAAACATCGTCATACCAACAGGCGCACAAAGGGACCACCTTATGGAGTGCGATCTCGGCTAGAGTGGGATCGAACGGGCGTGAAGAGCAGGACACAGGGTCTAAACATCAGCGACTGACACCCGGGACCCACACATTCAAATTTGAGATGGTCCTGCGCTCCCATCTGCCTGAATCTATTCACATCCGGCAGAGTGAGGTCCGGTACTGGATCCGAGCCTCCATTGAACGACCGGGCTTCTTAAATCGCCCATTCTCCTGCAGCAAACCCATTACCGTCGTTCATTGTCCCGCAGAAGATTTCGTGGACGATGCTGAACCGATATATGTCGCTCGCGCTTGGAAACATCTTTTACAGTCGGATATTCTAGTCTCGAGGCGAGGGGCACCTCTTGGGGACCTCTTACCTGTCACCGTGTCATACACAGAGCTGGGCCGCGCCAAGTTCCGTGGGCTGCAAATATTTGTCTCGGAAGATGTGCAGTACCACCAGCGGGATGGTCTAACTTGCTGCAGTGGCCCTTTCAAACGAAGCCTAGTCTACGAGAAAATGGCAGGACCGGTGTCAACGACGGCGTTGAGACGAGCCGACACGGAAGAACACCCAGCATACATTGAGAAGGACGATTATATCACCGCCAAGGCGGTCGGGGATGCCGAGGCACGAAGCCGATCGCCGCACGATGGCGACACGGAACACACCGAACTCAGTCTCCAACTTCCAATACCCGTTTGTCATCTTCATTCTGATCCAGCAAGGCCACAAGGCATGCATTTTGACACCCGGTACAAAAACGTTCGAATCATCCACTGGCTTGAGGTAAGATGATGCGGTTTTTGTTGGCCTACGAATTTTCACCTAGACTAATCGGTGGCACTTCTCATAGTTTGCCTTCCTAATGGCCAAGCCCGACAATTTGAACCCGAACAATGAGCGCATTGTGCAGAAAGTTGCCCACGTCCCATTGGCACTGCGCTCTTGTTACGCTCAGCAAGCCAATGCTGCGCTGCCGGCATACTCCTAAGACGGTTGGGGTTGCAGCCAATAGTATGATCGGGAAAGCTTCGGAAAGATTCCTGGTTGGACTGCTGCAAGAAATCTCCAGTCGTGTTGAAGCTTACTCGTGGCCGTGGCCTGCATCACAGCACCTGGGCATGAAGGCCCGTGGGCGTGTGGGAAGTGGAGCCCGTGAAAGAGGAGTGGGTACTCAACCACCATTAGATCGTGAAAGGGTCCCTCAAACTTGGCTTTCTTTGGATAAGAAGCTAAAAAAATCTTCAAGAAGATCCAGCGAGATTCTTGCAGGCTTGCAGCCATGGCAGCATCTACACTTTTACAGGCCTTGCCGCCACCGAAAGAGTGGGTACCTTACATTTCCGGATAACATCCAGTGGGTCGTCCCGCTTATCGGCCGCTGTGCAGTTACATCATTTGCTGTCCGTTGACGATCTTTCCACCTGGAATGCATCATTCTCACATCATATCTCATCCCTCCTCTACCCTCCTCCGTCCGAAACCACCACATAATTCATCCCGAAGTCCGTTACCGAACGGGCCTCACGCTGCTTCGGTAAGCGGCGCCCTCTTACGGTTCTCAGTGTTGTCCCACTGCCTGCCCGTCGTAGCGAGGCCCCCCCGGTGATGTCAGCTGGGGTTGAACAATCGGAAAAACATTTCGAAAAGGAATGCCCATGGGACGGTCAGGGTCATGGCATAGGACGTGTGGAGTGGAGGGCCACCTCCAAGGCTCCAATCTTTTCCCCATGGGTAACCTTCTTTGGATCAAGCGTAAAATGTAGCGAGCGCTCCACCGCTCGTTGCCGCATGCAGTACGCAGATTCTTAAGTTCACGTAGTCCTCTCGCACTGCTGGCATATTCTTTCAAAGCTTTAATCTTCTCTTTATCTCTCCTTCCATTCTCTCTTCATCCCCTCACTCTACTCCTCCTCCTCTTCCTATTCATCTATATACCCCATTTCTCCCCTGGGTTCCACATACAAGTTTCTATCATTCTGGCATCGTAACATTCTTTCTCATCATGGCGCCTCCCACATATGCCGGCTTTACGGGCCGGCGACTCGGCCTCGCGATATCAACAATTGCGACTATGGGCTTCTTGCTCTTTGGTTATGACCGTACGTAATTTCTTCAGGCCTTTTATGAATCTTGAAGCTTACAGTCTATGCAGAGGGTGTCATGTCAGGTATTATCTCTGATCCTGCTTTCAACGACATGTTCACTGCCACCAAGGGTGATTCGGTCATGCAAGCAACGGTTACCGCAGTCTATGAAGTCGGTGAGTGACTTGAGCTGGGTGCCAGGTCAGCGACTAGCAAGCTAACCCGCAGGACACAGGCTGTCTCTTTGGTGCCATCTTCGCCTTGATTTGCGGTGAAAAGTTGGGGCGGCGTCTTATGGTCATCTGGGGTGCAACCGTGATGATCATCGGTGTGATCATCCAAGTCACTGCCATGCCCAATTCGATCCCACTGCTGCAGTTCATCTTCGGCCGTGTGATCACTGGTATCGGCAATGGTATGAACACGTCGACTATTCCAACGTATCAAGCCGAGTGCTCCAAGACTAGCAACCGTGGTCTTCTTATCTGTATTGAGGGAGGCATTATCGCCATTGGAACCATGATCGCTTACTGGATTGACTATGGAGCCCACTATGGTCCCCAAGACCTGGTCTGGCGCTTTCCCATTGCCTTCCAAATCTTCTTTGGGCTCATCATCATTTTCGGCATGTGGAAACTTCCCGAGTCCCCTCGTTACTTGATCGCCCACGGCAAGGTCGAGGAAGGTACTCGGGTCCTTGCTGCCCTCGCAGGCGAGGAAATCGACCACCCCCACGTCCAGCTGGAGAAGAATCTCACCCTGGACTCTGTCCGAGCGTAAGTGACCTCGATGATGGATCTGCAGATGCCTTGATAACTGACCCTACCCTCCAGGTCCGGAAACTCCCATGCTAAGTTCAGCGACTTGCTTACCGGTGGTCCCTCTCAGCACTTCCGCCGCATGCTGGTCGGTTCGTCATCTCAGTTCTTTCAGCAGATTTCTGGCTGCAACGCGGTCATCTACTACTTGCCCGTGTTATTGGAGGATTCTATCCACCAGTCCCACAACTTCGCGCTTCTGATTGGCGGTATCAACATGATCTGTTACGCAATCTTCGCCACATTCTCGTGGTTCTTTATCGAAAAGATCGGTCGTCGCAAGCTGTTCCTCGCCGGCAGCTACGGTCAGTGCGCTGCGATGATCATCGTCTTTGCCTGTTTGATTCCGGGCGATGCGGAGAGTGCTAAGGGAGCTATCTTTGGATTCTTCCTTTACATGTGCTTCTTCGGTGCTACATGGTTGCCTCTCCCATGGCTCTACCCTGCCGAAATCTCTCCTCTTAAGACCCGGTCCAAAGCCAATGCGGTGTCGACCTGCAGCAACTGGCTTTTCAACTTCACCGTGGTTATGATTACGCCCGTGATGGTCAGCAGTATCGGTTGGGGAACTTATCTTTTCTTCGCCGCCTGGAACGCCCTCTTCATCCCTGTCATTTGGTTCTTCTACCCCGAAACCGCCAACCGCAGTCTGGAAGAGATCGATTTGATTTTCGCCAAGGGCTATGTCGAGAAGATGAGCTACGTCCGTGCGGCCAAGGAGCTGCCCAAGCTCACTGATGATGAGATCGAAGCCAAGGCGGCCGAATATGGCATCCTCGGTGACGAGGAGAAGGCTGAGGAGCGGATTGCCGAGAAGAACCCTCCCCAGTCTGAAGAGTTTTCCCAGTTCCAGCCAACTCAGCTGTAAGGGGGATTGCAGCAGCGCATGAGAGTTTACATTTATGATGATATGCCTCGCAACATGAATTATATACCTCTTTGTTGTTTGTTCTCTGATTTTTGTTGAAGTGTTGCCGAGGCCAGTTGCTGGCCAACCTTGCCTACGTGTCCTTGCCTGGTGCAGGATAGGTGCGTGCGTGCGTGTGTGTGATGTGTTGGGCTCATCCTTCGTCGATGCATAGGAGCTAGAAAAAGCTTCAAAAGCGAAAAAAGTCTCTTTTCTGGACAAGATTTCACTGCTACGAGGTGGGATGTGGATATCAAGCAGTCATGGACTCGCCTGTCTTGTCCAGGGATATAGGCTATAGGTGTGGTCATGTATATACCAGTTTTGCGTTTTATGTTCTGCTTCAATAGAGCAACCACTAGATTCCATCTTCATTGAGAGTCTTTCTCTCCTCAGATCCGTCCATATGTCCTAGTAGATAAACCTCCCATTGATTCCTTAATCATCCCCACTCCTCAAAACAACCCCTCAAAACAACCAAGTTGGAAAGAGTACCGAGTCCACACACAGACTACAGCAAGATCTTGCAAGACCTCAGTGCACTGCATGCGGCGACACCCGACCGGATGGATGGTTTTTGTTTCGACCCTTCCAAGCTTATCTCTGGCCCAAGCATGCCAGCGAAAGTTTAATTTTTTCGACATTGCCCAGGCTTCTACTCATCGACCATTTACGTATAGAGAAAGAAACCTGCAGTTGCATTTGCGACGAATCCTTCATTGCATCTCTCCACGGAGTGAGATCACCCATGTGATCTACAATACAAACAGCAGCACGCTAAGTTACGTCAGTGTCTTCAACTCTTCCAGACGGATGCAGTTCAGGACGTGGCCAGCAGCGCAATTAGACTCGGGAGGGTCTGTTTGCTCTGGAATGGAAAGATTCGTGTGGAATGAGGGTGGTAGGTTTTTACTTGCAGTAAGAAAGACTGAGTTCAAACTTTGTTGGTTGGTTTTCTTAGGTCCAGTCGTCGCATTAAGCCTTCTTGGTCTTGGTCTTGGTCTTGGTCTTTTCTTGGGTCGGTGTTGTTGTTGCTTGCTTGTTTAGGTTTTGGCTTGCCAAGTTTCTTCCCGGAAGGGGTGAAAGAGAGAGAGAGAGAGCCACAGCAGCCTCGGTACGGTGCATGCGAGTATGTGCATATGCCAGCTCAGATTGGAGGTAAGGAGGGGGTGGAGTGTGTCTTTGTCGTGTACATGATGGTTATGTCTTGATTTGAGTTGGGGGGGAGGGAATCTGGGGTCACAGATTTCATGATATGGACTATGTTGTTCGTTCGTCCCTGGTTCGTCCCTGCGATGGTTGATATGTGGTATTGTACATGCCTGACGGTGTATAGTAGTCCTGTGATATTAAAGGAGGGCAACAGCCTTTCATATCGCATGGGATGATCGTGAGGTCTGAGTTCGGTCCAGTGAGACACTGAGGATTGGCCGGTGTCTGCACTCCTTTGGGGTAAAATGAGTCGACCTAACGCCTGGCAAAAGGTGATTATTATTGAGAAAGATAGAGATAAGATGAGGCAGTCAATTGTTTGAATCACGAGCATTCATAATGACTATTTCGACACTTGAGAAGTCAGTGACTGCACTACTAGGTATACTGAAGCACTTGCCGAATTCGACCGCGTAGCCCGGCACCGGGAGACGGACACGTGCTGTCAGCGGGACCGAACCCGAACGGCGATCTACACTAAGCACTGGGAACTACGAACCACCCCGTAACCTAGCATTGGATATCACCAATCCATGTGATTCAATCCCTTTACTCTTCCCAGAGTGGGTCAGATCTATACTTTATCAGAGCATGGCAGGAGCTCCGGATCCTTCAGTCCCAACAAAACATGAATCGGCCAGCGCCTGAAGCAAGCATGGCCGATTCCGAACCTCGCAAACGCCATCGGCCGGCCAAATCATGCGAGCAGTGTCGCCAGCGCAAAGTCCGATGTGACCGCAATGTCCCCTGTGGTCCCTGTAGGCGCTCGCGGTCCTCAGTGGACTGTTCATATCGGGAGAACCTCCGTTCCCCGAGCCCAGTCGCGATTGAGCAGACGTCCCTGCATGCGACGCAACTGAGTGCTTCGACTGCGGGTCCAGCTAATCATGTCCTTCAGGAGACGCAACCACCAAGTCTGACAGCTAATGCGACTGTGGCATCACTCTATCACCCTGAAGTAAGGAACTCAGTAAATGGACTAGTTAACACACAGGACCCGCCTGCCAATTCGCAACACGGTTCATCGGTTCGTCAGCTCCAGGACCGGCTGCAACGTCTAGAGGCGCAGCTGGCGACCTCATCGACTGAGTCGGATCAATCTCTGGAGCGAACCTTGCGAGATCTGTGCTGCAAGGTCCAGGCATTGGAGGAACGGCTGTCGTCGCAAGCCACGCATTCTACCCCGAGAATAGAGCCGGAAAGAGAAGGGCATGGAAGGCAGGAACAGATGTCGACTATGCCTTCGACACCTCTGCGGCTGGATGCGAAAGTGAGAAAGATGAAGCTGTTTGGTCCGACTCATCATGTCTATACATTGGAGAAGGTATGGGGTAAACCTGACTCCGTGACGAGCCGTGACTCATCAGCTAGCAGCTTCACATGCTCGGTTCCCTCGCAGGCAAGGACCCGCAGTCTGCGTATCCGGAGCGCAAAGCTGAACTGGCGACGCTCATCAAGGAATGCCGGAACCTCCGCAAGTCAGTCAAAAAGAGACAGTCTCTGAAACCGAATGACCCTGTGTCAAATCTGCTCAATTCGATACCCGCAAAAGATGTGTGCGACGAATTGGTGCGCTGTTACATGGACACTTTCGAGCCTGTGTATCGAATCCTTCACTTGCCAAGTTTTCGAAAGGAGTATCATCGGTTCTGGGAGGAACCTCCCGCCAAGGTCACGCCTTACCTTGTTAAACTGACCTTGGTACTCGCTATAGGGACTACATTTCATCCACGGCGAAGCAAAGCAGGCACTGAACATGACTCGCGGCTGGTCCAGTCCTGGATATACGCAGCTCAGTGGTGGCTCACTGGGCCAACGGAACGGTTGACATCGAGCCTAGAGGGTATTCAGGCCGTTTGTCTGCTTCTTCTCGCCCGTCAGATGGGAGACCTGGGACCGTCTATCTGGCTGTCACCAGGGTCTCTTCTGCAGGCGGCCACGGCCATGGGCCTGCATCTGGACTCTGCCAGATTTCCCAGCCTGTCACCCTACATGGCCGAAATGCGTGCACGTCTATGGACAACCGTTCTAGAGCTTACAATCCAATGCTCCCTGGACACCGCTGTACCACTGATCATCCCCGCTTCATCTGACAGCAAACCCCCTTGCAACCTTAACGACAAGGACCTTGACCCTGACATGAAACAAGCAACCACAGCCCGACCCATGTCCGAACTGACGGACTCCTCCATCCAATTGCTGCTTCATGAATCCTTCTCCCTCCGTGCTGAAGCCGTCAACCTCATCCATGACCGTTCAAATCTGACGTTCACCCAAGCTATTCAGCTGGGTTCCAAGCTCCGTGATGTCTGCCAAACCCTAACTAATTTCTTCTCCTCCCATATCCTGTCCCCCACTACCCCTCAGCATCCGCATCAATCCCAGCACACCAACAGCGACCTCCACCCGGCCTCCTTCCACCACAAATTCCTTGATATGATCCTCCGCCGATACATCCTCCTCCTCCACCTCCCATTCATGCGCGAAGCAGCCACCAACCCCCAGTATCATTTCTCGCGCAAAGTCTGCCTCGAATCCGCCATGATCATCGCATCCTACGCCAGCACCCTGACTCTCCCCGCCACCACCGACCTCGACGCCTTCGCCCGTCTCCTCATCTCCGGCCGCGGCTCGTTCCGTGGCCCCTTAAGCCTGGAACTTTTCTCCATCCTCGGACTAGAAGTGATTACCCAACTCGACGAATCCCCTCCTCCTCCTCCTCCTTCGCAGCCCCCCGCCTCCGCCGCCACCTTGACAGCAAGAGCAATGACCCGAAACCCCCTCGCCGAGCTCGCCCGCGCCACCCGAGCCCCCCTGATCCAAACCCTCGAGCACATCCGCGACCAGATCTTCCAGATCATCCGCCTCGGCACCCCGAGTCTCAAGCGCTGTATCGTCCTCTCGGCGATGTTGGCGCAGGTCCGCGCCATGGAGACGGGCGACTCCGTCGAGGAGGCCGTCGGCGCGTCGCTGGTCCTCAGCCTGAAGGAGTGCTACGCTGCGTTGCAGAGCTTTGCGGCGGCGACGGCGCACGGAGAAGGGGAGGTTGCGGAGGTTGCGGCTATGATGACGGGAACGACGGCGGTGGGGTCAAGCCTTGGAAGTCCGTCCGGGCTGCCCGGGTTGGAGTTGAATGCTGTAAGTTTCTTCTGGTTTCTTGCTGGTGGTGGTGCTGCGTGGTGAGAGGGAAGGGAGGGAAACGCTGGGTGTGTTTGGAAGCTAAAGCTAATCGCGGGTTTGTGTAGGATCTTGATCTTGATATCGCGAGTTTGTTCTATGCGTCTGGGTTGGGAGATCTGGAGGATCTCGGGTTCTAGATTGTTCGGATACTCGGAGAGCATATGTGGTGTGGGGTGAGGAAGGGGGGCAGTGTGACGCCGTATGAGCTGGTACTCTACGTTGGTCTGCCTGGAACTTGAAGCGAATAGCAAGGCTCACACTGGAAGGAACGCTGCTCCTGGGGCGAGAACGAGCTGTCCCTTTCTGGAAGGAAGAGAAGAGAGGAATGCAACCCTCAATCTTCGTGGAAATTAAGATTTATGTAAAGTAACTGCAACGACCAGTTGGCGCTTGAAGAATTAGATAATGTCTGGTATTCATGTGGACCATGCGTGCCTGTCGTGGTACGATAGTGTTCCTTCGTGTTTCGTGCTTCATCCTTTTGTCTGGACAATCTACGAGGTCGGTAGCGATGGCTCACTCGCTTGTGATGCACCATCCTCAAACCCAACCAGAATACTGGTCCAAGCCTTCATTCTGCACCCCAGCCGAACCGTGCCGGACGCCAAGCAGCCGGACGGTACCGATCTTCCCGCCGAAGTCATCTTCCACCTTGCTCTCCCACGAGGCGAAGGAGTCCTCCAGCCGCTTGATGACCTCGGGGGAATCCTGGATCAGCACGGCAAGGGCATCATACCCACCGGCGCCAGGGACGACACCCCCGACGACGCCGTCGAGGTCGGAAATGGCGTCGAGCAGCTCGGTCTGGACCTTGGGCTCGATCGGCACGCCCGACTTGGCGGTCATGCTGCGGATGTGGCCGCGGGAGCGCTGGATGAGGTTGCGCACCTCGCCGAAATCAGCCAAGGTGTAGCCACTGCTGCCGCTGTCCTGGTTGCCGGCGGCGGCGGCGGCGTTCTGGGAGAGGGTCTTGAGCTCGTGGCAGAGGTGCTCGTTATTGGTCTGCAAAGCGGTCCAGAGCAGGTCGGCCTCCTGGGGGTTCTGCTTGCGCCACTCCAGCACCTTCTTGACCATGGAGGGCGAATTCGAGCCGCATTCGACGTCGCAGAGGACCATCTGCATGCCGCGCGGCAGCTTCATGCCGAAGTCCAGGCACTCCGTGTCCCAGCGGTGGGCCGGGTCGACGTCCTCGACGATGGCGAAGAGGCGCTCCTCGAAGCCGGGGGTGGCGGCGTCGCCGACGGATTCGAGGATCGACGGCGAGAAGCGGCGGTAAAGGCAGGAGCCGTAGATGGCGGCGGCGACGTCAAAGCCCGAGCCGACCTTGCCCTGGGCGGCGCAGTGGGCCGCCTGCGCCAGGTTGTGGAGCTTGTCGCGCGCGGGACCCAGGTCGTCGGGTTGCAGGGTGCGGTGGATGACGAGGGCGGAGACCAGCGCGGTGACCAGCGCGGCGGAGGATCCCAGTCCCGTCTTGTGTGCCTCGTGGAGGGGCACGCCGAAGTTGACGAAGCGGCCGGGGGACTGCAGCCCGGAGATCTTGGAGAAGGCCGTCTCCGAGTAGTAGTCGTTGTCGGCGAGGATGGTGATGGAGAGGGAGCCGAAGTCTTTCGATCCGGCGACGTAGCTGATGTAGGTCAGGGCGTAGTTGAGCGAGGTCTCGACGAAAGGGTTGGGCCGTCTGGTTCATGGAGGCAGGGATTAGCTTGAGAGGCTCCTGACTGACAGTTTCCTAGGGAGAGTTTTACCCCTGGCCCTTCTGTATCACTTTGATCCCACCGCCATTCTCGCACCGGTGTACACCATACTCCCAGACTGCGTCGACGAATTGTGGGGACCGAACCACGACGATGTCTTCACTCTCCTTGCTATCTGGTGTGCTCTCCGCTTGCCCTGACCCCGTGGATGAGCTCTTCCGGTGGTATTTTTTCAGCTGTTCGACAATGACATGGATGCGAGCGTCGAGGGCGAAGACGGTGCCTGTGTAGTTACGGTCGAGGACCAGGTAGCCGCCGGTCAGGAGGACTTTGCCCGGGGCGGACACCGCCGTGACGGTCGGAGGGATGTAAGACATGAGGACGCTATGGTCGTGTTGTGGATATGCTAAATCGTGGGAAGGGAGGTCATAGATCGTGGGGCAGGTTCAAGAGTACTATGAGAAGGAGCAGTGTCAACAATGGAACCAGTTCGCCTTAGGCTGTAGTGTGGGGGGAACGGACTGGAGCTATACAACTAATGGGAGTAGATCGAACTATTTACATACCGTTTGCAAACTGACTTATCACGGACAAGTGAGAGGGTCCAACTGAATGGTCAAGATAGAATGGTGAAAAAACAAAAACAATCAGCTTCTTCGCAATGGATCCGTTTAAGGGAGAGACGACCTTTGTGACAAGCCCCGCCCCGGTAGTCAACTTAGATTGATTAGGGGTTCAATATGCAGTCAGTTCATGTTGCTATCTGCAAATTCGCCCGGGTGTGACAATGCTTGGAGCTGGAATTAGGGTGAGGGGTGTTTAGTCCATGTCAGCAAGACTTCAAGAATCGTCTCATCATGATTCTCTCAAGGTCATCATTCTTTTCTCTCCATTGTTGACTCTGGGATTAACTGTTGCTGGGCGGATCTTCCAGTTGGAAGACCAGTGGTGAATTGTGGCTGGTTCTGTGGCTGGTGATGGGCTGGATTCACCCACTGTTGATGCCTGCCATTTCTGGTGTCAATTTGCGGCAGCCTGTCCTCTTACCCCATCAATTCATCTCATCCTTCCACGCTTTACGTTACGCAGGTGCACCAGGTACAGCAGGTACAGAGTCATGTACATCAACATGCATGCTTCTACGCACATGGTACGAGCAGAGCATCGAAGCTACTCACAACTTCCGTTACCTGGCTAATGACCGACCACGGACCACTATCTCAGCTGGGAATACTCCGTACAGTTAGTTACGTGGAAGGCGCAGCAATAACGGCAGCTGCCTCACCATGTGAATCTTACTGCATCCGGGGGCTTCCATCCATCCTCTTTACATGACTTCGAGATTCCAAGGACGCCCACAAACCAGGGGTGGTCTCAAAAAAAAACCAGAAGAGCGTTTATCGGGCACAGTGTCACCGTCACCGAGACGGCGAACAGTTCACGGAACGGACAGACGGAGATTTGGAACGGATATAACGATCGAAAGCCTTTCGTATCCGTGGCCAAGCGGATTCCAGCGATGTTCGGTGCTTCGGCCAGCCGGGAATCCGCGCCCCCCCGTACAACCAAACCATTCGGAGGCCAGCCTGCAAACTCCGGGGGGGGGACATTGCGGTCCCTGCGAAGAAAAAGAGCCGGAAGAACAGTGAGTCACGGATTCACGGCCAGGGGTCCAGCTCTGCTTCTGATCCACCCGATTGGGTCGGAGTTGCAATCCGGGGCCGCAGCGAGAACTGAGAAAGTCAATGAGGCCACCTGACACGCGGAATCCTTCCCTATGCTCCCCTATTTCGCCTCAGGCAACGACCATTCCCGAAACCTGACGTACCTTCGTCTGGTGGGGATGGTTCTTTTGCTATTTTTTGCAACACAGGAAGTTTTTTTTTTTTCCGCGCACCATCATTACCTAGTTTGTTGCTCAAAACAACAGTTGTCCTGTTCTATCAGATCAGCGACTGCACGCTGCAGGTTGACGCCTGCGCTACTTAAATCCCGCAGTACGAAGTGCAGAGACAGTAGCTACATACATGCATATACCAAACGCGTTCTATAGACTAGACCAATCCACCCACCAATGCCACAAAAAATTCCAGCTCAGGGCTCCGTTTATCGCTGAAATCCTCCCTTGGAACCCATTCTCAGACCTATCAAAAATCCATTGAAAAAGCCAATCAAAGTGTGTATTTGCATTGGTCAGCACGGCAGTGACAAAAGTACCTATGCCCAAACAGGCCAAGTGGCAGTGGGATCTGCGCTAGACCCGATTTAGTAACCCCGGCGATACCGATCAGTTTCCCTCCCCGGGCTCTGAAATACCGATCAATTCCCTCTCCCAGTGTGGCCTCGTACTTTTCTTCTGTTTGCTCTTCATCTACACACAGGCTTCAAGCTACTGGTTATTTTTCCCTTTCGCGATCATCCCCTTCCTTCTTTTCCCGCGCGTTCTTTTGGCGACCAGCAGTCGTCAAATGAACCTGCATAGTTATTATCATTTTGATTGCAAGGTACGAATTACCCGATTGGGAGGCGGAGAGTGGGAGGCGAATAGTTGTGCATCAATCACGATAAAGAAAAAAAAAATAAGGGGGGAAAACAACAATCAACACAGGACGCTGCTGACTTCAATTCCAGCATTGCCTCTTCCCTCTGAAGAGGTCTCCCGCAAGATAAATGGTCTTCAAGCCGTTCACCCACCTCGCGCGCCAGAGTTTCACCAAAGCCTTCACACATGGCTATGCTCAGTCGGTAGTTGCGGCCTCGCAGTCCTCGTACGCGTCGTCGACTACATTAAACACCCTTTCCAGTCAGCCCGCCGCCAAGTTCACGAGAACAACTCAATTACAGAATGTCTTCCAGCCCTCTAGCTCCGGTGCAGGCGCCAAGGCCAGCCAGGGAACTTCCGGCTCTGGGGATCTGGGTTTAGCGGCCTACTACGCTGCATGGCAACATGCTCAGCAAACCGGAGATGATAGTGACTGGAAGCAGCTGCAGATGCGGAGGAGAATCGGTTGGAAGCCTACGTTGAACGAAGAAGAAGGAAAGACGAAGAACGAAGCCAGCCTTCCATCCTCGGACTCCCAATTCCACGAGTCACCTCACATCACCAAAGCCTCCGCCAATGACGATGTTAGTGCTCAGGTCGAAGAAGCCGTTGCCCGCGAGATCCAGATCCAAGAAGAACAAGCGCAGGCCGAGGAGGCTTCCGAGACCAAGGACAATCTCGACACCGAAGCGTTTCCCGATTTACCCGCCGATGTTGCTGCTGTGGAGGATGCGAACGTCGAGCAGTCTCGCATTGCTTCCGAACATATCGTCGAACTAGCCAATGGCAGGAAATATGCGGATATTCCGGGTGCCTTCGCCGCTATTCTTCGGGATGGATTGACGCCGACCGTCGG